ACGAACAATGTTTCATTTGTCTTGTTCCAAGACGCCGAGAAACAATTCCTTCCGCGTGATCGACGAATTGCAAGGAGAGACCGTTTGTCGATCGAACGTTTACGTGTCACATGCATTGACTCGCATCTTACATTAAATATATGTAAATACGATGTTGCGCGTAGAAAAGTGAAAACCACGTGTCGAAAATAATTGTTCGTAGACAGGGTCGACTTACAAAATTCTTTTTTATACCGGTCGAGAGGGGAGACTCTGTCTCCGTACTCGACAAATAGTTGTTCCCATGCTCGGGGAATGCTGTCCTCTTAATACAATAATTCCTCTCGAACAGTATAATTTATTTAAATTGACTATAAATATTGAAAATTGCCATTGTATAATAATCATAATCTAAAAATATTTGTTTTCTCTATATCACATAAGAACGCATTATGCGAAGGCAGTGCTAATAAAATGCAATGCGATTTCACCAACGTTTTCCGGTTGCCTCTTGGTCGTGTCAATGAATTAAACGTTATTAAACATAATTGTCTTCTTCGATTTCCTCTTGTTTTCTTTCTTTCTTTTTTTTCTGTAGTTTTTCATTGTAAAAATACGATCTTAGCGTGACGTTAAAATTATATATACACGCTAAGATCAACATTCTCTGCCAAAAATGCGAAACATAAATATGCCACGAATAAAAATAAACGGTGCTTTTAGGATTAAGAACGTGACAGTGGTAGGCGGCAGAGAACGATTATCAGATGAACGGTAACAATTTAGGTAAAACTGATTCGCAATGAACTCAGTTTCCGTTCATTGGTTCGTTTCGTGCGTAACAGCATGAGCATCCGGGAGATTTCTATTTCTATGAAGCGACTCAATGAAATCGAATTTAAATAACGGATCGTCACAGAACGATGATAAGATTAATAATAACATATTTTTCAATGAATATAATGATATTAATAAGAACGATGCGTCTATAACATCTGAAATATTTGCCATCTACATATATACATACATGTACGCCATATCAATTGCTATTATGCGAATTCATTAAACTAAAAACAATATAAATTTACACATGTTATTATTTCTTCACGCCCGATTTTCAACGTATCAATCAACGTACATGCAAGGAAATTGTAAAAGATTAGCTGACATGTGCAGTTCATATATTATATTGCTTCTTCTAATGCCTTTCAGGAAATTTCATAGCACTGATTCTTATGAATAAAAACGATAAGATAAAAAGCGGTGTACGGTATGAAATCATCAAAGAATTGGAATCAAAGTGCTTTCCTAACACGAAAGATAATTGAAAGATAATCAAAGACTATTTGTGTGTTCTTTTTTGTAATTTCTGGTTCGCTAGATCGATAAAACGAGACGTGGAACCGATGTAAATTAATTTGATTATGTAAGCAGCAAAGTGACAAGTAAAAACGTATCGATGGAGTTTGACGTTGATAATTTAAGGGACGAATTATACAAAAATAGTGATTGAAAATTATAAATCTCGTTTCGACGGCGGTACCAAATGGTCCGGTAATTCCGCAGGTAGATCATAACCTCCGAGTTTTACGTTAATTAAATGCATCGCTAAGGCAAATTCTTCGGAATCCAGGAATCCATCGTTATCAATGTCGGATAATTTCCAAATTTTCCCAAGCACACTGTTTGGTAATTTAGATTTTACCATTTCCGATTTAGCGGCTGGAAATGAATAAAATGAATCAGCTTATTCAAGTTATTTATAACTAATGCAGATTTGTGACTTCAAACATATTTTTGTGACAATATATATTCAGTTAATATATATATATGCATTATTAATGCATACTATATAGACTCGAGTTTCAAACCAGTATCGTTTTAGATAGAGACGTATAAGAAATTACCTGCCCCAGTAATTTTGCCGTCACATGGGTCAAGCGTATTGAAAATGGAATCGTATTTGTATCTTTCTTTATTAACGATCCATTCTGGTTCACCCGCACCAGCATCGATACCTTCGCCTCGTTTATAACCAAACGGACTTACTTGATCTTCTACACCTTCAAAAGCACCACCTGTAACGGTGGAAGCTTCATTATTAAATTGGAAAGGTTCTGTTTCATAAGAAATTATTTGTCAATCATCGTGGAAAATCTATGAAATTTGATAATTAATTGGTTCCCGTGCCAATCGGCGAGAAGTAGGTCAATGTTTTGTTCGATATTATGTCAGAATGCTAACGATGAAAGGAGACGATTGCACGTCTTACGGCATTCAGATATACAGAGTCGCGTTTATTCCGAGTTTTATAGTATATCATTGAAATTTATCGCGAGAAGCACTTAAGATGATATCCATGAAATAACCATTTACGATTACGTTCAGTTGCACAAGTTTGACTAGTGAGTAATGACAAATAGCAGGAATATAGATATCTATGTGCTTCTGCTCTAAGATTCTATAAAAATGTTCAGATATCTTAGTGGAAAGATATAAACAGAGAGAGGTACCTTTAACTAAAGAGTCTGATGTTGAAATGATTTCTTCATTTGGTATCATGTCCATAAGTTTTGCGATATCCTCGGCAAACATTCTATCAACTACTTCCAATAATTTAGGCTTTAAGGAATTGAATTTGGTAAAATCATGATGTACCAAACATTCCTGCATTTTCTTCAAGTCTGGAAAGTCGCCGGGCGAAATTTGTTGCTCCTTTTGTATTTGGTCATAGATTTGACCCAAATTTTTGATAAGCCCTATTTTCTTTGTATCTTTGCGAAACATGTTTGGCATGTCCTTCTTCAGGGCGCTGATTATGTAAGCATGCACCTAGGATTGAATGAATATATGTATGATTATTCAATATTGTAAATTATTATACAATAATTTATAAGTAAATAAAATTTGCACAGTTGATCGAGCGACTAAATAATGTTCGAGAAGGTGATTTTTATGTTTTCTCACCGTGGCTAATCGTGCGCGTTTAATCAAATCATTGAGTTTTCGAAGCGCTGCGTTTCTAGGCAACGACTGTATATCCCTGAACAGATCCTGTTCCTCGTCTTCGAATAATCTAAGAGCAGAAAAAGTATAGATAACGAATGGTTAAATATGTATGTGCGTGTACGTACATGCATACTTGTACATAAATTTCAGCACAGGGGAGGTTCACTCGAGTCACTTTTGTTCTATTCCATCGACAGAAACGTATGCGCACGTTCACCCTCTTTTTTTATAAGGATCGCGGTGCGTATGCGTTTGAGCGAATACAAAAGGAAGACAACACACGCAATTGCGTGTAAGGGGATTGCTTTATAATACGAGGCAAATAAAAGTACTCGCCTCTTATTTACATCGTATCTTAGGGGCTGGTCCCAGAATGACCCGATATACACTCTGGCTACTTCAGGAGTTTGTAGTACTTTACCAAGAGACCACATCAGTGCTCCATATACTCTCATTAGCTGCTGATGATCAATCATATCTGCTTTATTTAAGACTATTCTAATTTTATCATCGTGACCACGTAGTGCTTCAATGGATCGTCTAAATTCGTCAGAAATATCAAGTTTATGCGCATCAAACAACAAAATGATTCTGTCCACTCGTTCAGCAAACCATTCCAAAACTCCAGTAAAATCGTAACCTCTATCGACCTAGTAACAAAAAGAAGATACACCATGAAATTCGTGTTGCTATTATATATAATGAATAAACAATTCATGCGGTCCTTGAGCATACATACTCTTTGCTTTTCTCCAGACAAAATGCCAGGTGTGTCAACTATGGATATACCTTTCAATACTGGAGACGACACCGTAGAACATTGAAATCTATTTAGAAAAGCATTACCAAATTTGGAAAGTGGACGGAACTGTTTTTTAGGATCGACAACTAAAGCATTTCCAGGGATTACACCTTCCTTTTCACTGTACATGACTGTAATGAAGCGATCCGTTGTTGGTTCAGGACCAATCCTTATCCCAGGAAAGTCTCGTTCGAGTAAATACTTGATGAAGGTAGTTTTTCCTGTGGAGTATTGACCCACCAGCAGGATCATTGGTTTAGCGTCGAAATCTGGATCGTCGAGTTGCGGAGAGTGAAAATCGTGGAACTGATAATGCTGTTCCAGTGGCAGCAGCTTTGTTTTGTAGACCTTCTTGAGTCCCTCGGTGACATTTTCGAAGACATTTTGCTTGTCGTTCTCTTCCCGGCTTAACCAACTGAACATTTCGTGGCTAAATGACTGAACAGTCCTGCGAACGAATTACGAACATGATTCATATAAAAGTTTCTCTTTCAAGGACCGTATGATGCATTTTATCCCGCAACGCTTAAATGCCATTCACGTATGATTTAACTTTTAATTTTAGCAACAAACCACGACGAAATTCACATTAAAACCTATCAAGATGACGTTATTCGAGCGAATTTTATTCTGTTGATTCACAACGACGGTACCACGACAGTTGCTGTTCCTCCGTTATAAATAAACTAGAAAATTCAGTAGAAATGTCACGTGTGCCGTTTCACGGGCGTATCAACCGAATAAATTACGGAGAAACCGCGTACACGTAAAATAATAATCCAGATGAAACTAACCTCTTTTCTTCACTCGAGCGAAACACAAATAAAACGATGGGCGCGATCAAACGCTCTCATACAGAGTGGAATTGACAGCGTGTACAACTGTTGCTGTGATGTCGTCGGTCGATAATGCTGCTCGACTCGCGGATAATCGTAGAAAAAATGACTAGAAAGCTGGCCGATTAATTTTCTTTCGCCGAGTGGTCCCGAATCGTTTCGGAATATGTATCCGATCACCGTTTGTCGGCTGATTTTTCAATTCAAGTTACACTGCTCGGTCGTGTCGATCGCGAAATCGAATGATCGCGATCCGACCGCTGAACTCGCACGTAGCAGATAAGCCCGCACCGATACGACTGCGCATCTCGATTTTCCTCCTTCTCTTTCTCCTCGTTTACGACTCGCATTTCCCCGTTCCCCGTTCGCCGTCATTCACCGTTCACCGTTTCTTGTTCGCCATTCGTCGTTCTCCGTTCTCCGTTCCCGATTCCACGTTTCAGATTCCGAGCATCATTGCGCCGTCCTCTCGTCGCGGCTCGTCGTTCTCCTTGTCATGTTACCTAAAGCACAATTATCGCACGCACGATATTTGCATAATGTTCGCTCCGTTTCCGTGCTTCCGCTCACATTTTTCCCTTCTCTCGTTTTTCTTTTCGGTAAATTTAATAGCCAGCTAACCGTACGGATATGAACTTGAACCAAATCGAATCGTGAGTCACAGATGATTGTTCGATCGATCGAAGGGCAAGCTTTTATTATTCCAACGCGATGTTTCCATCGATCCTGTAGCATTTATGCGACTAGAATATCATTCTCCGTGTACGTAACCGTACAATCGACGATCGACGTTCGATTCTCTATTATCTCTACGCCCGGCTCGATAAGAAGTACAGTCCTGTATTTATTTGCTTATTGGCTAGAGAAGTGAGTCAGTCTCCAGGAGCGATAATGGGATAGCTAAATAGACGGAAGGAGGACGAAAAAGGGGAAGAAATGTGGTCAGCGGTTCTCTGAAGCAGGGACAGCGACGCGGTCGTATCGTCGTCCTCGTACGGAACAGAGATACTCGCGGTGACCTACATATATCTGAGCACTTAATAACGACGATAATGACGATGATGATGAACGATAACCGCGGTATCGATGACACGCGTATTTCGCGGCTCGCCGCCGCTGTATTCCGATCGGCCCGAGTCACACTGGTCGGCGATTAATTAATTAACGCTCGTCCATATTCCGTCTGAGTATTCGAATTCAGCGGAAAGACTGCTCCGTAATAATCGTTCTCGTATTACGTAACGAGACATGCAAAACATCCAGTGTCATTTGTTGCGTAAGCAACGCGGACACATCCTGGTTAAACGATTTTGTGCCAATTTAGTAATCTTAACCAGCTTCGCTCGAATTAGAATTGATTCGCACGGTACGTGCGCTCTGTTAACGTACCGCGTGTTTTACCGCGTTGTACCGTGCTGCGCTGCGCTGCGCGCACCCTTCGCGGACCTCAAGATCACTCGCTGGGTGGTATCCGGATCACTGGTTGACCCGTTGCAAGTGAAAACGCGGGTACTCGGTTACTCTCTTACTGGAATGGTATTTTTCTTTTTACTAAATACATATGTTACAATATGAATGTTTAGGGAACGAAGGCCGAGGATAATCACGATGAACATTCGTCGTCCCAGTTACCGGGGAGCACGTCTTTCCATAAACTGTTCGCGTCGTCGAGTAGACAAGGCGCACCGCAGTCTGGTATTTCCATGGGATACGCCGTGAACTTGTCCGTGTCGTTTAGGTATGTTAACTGTAAAATAAAATGCGGAAGATAAGAAACGCACGGGGAGAATAATGAAGAATGATAATCGAGGTTGATGAGTGTGATATTCAAAGGAGGCCGTATGTAAGAAGAGATTCATGTACCTTGATTTCAGCGCGTCTGTTGTCCGTAACGCCGGTGGCAAAGTTCAGTTCAAAGATGAGCATTGCGCCGTAGTCAGGTTTAAAGTACTCGCTCGTGAATCCCATGGCTCGCAGTAAATTAACAAGAGTTATGTCATGCACGGAGTAAAGATAGGCACGCTTGGTGTCTTTACCAGATTCAGCTGCTCGCATGCGTTCCACGATTTCCTTCAGCAACGGCCCTGTAACGTACGCGACGCGATGACAAGAAGAACTTTAACGATCGCTCTAACGATGTTGATTTAACGATTCAGCGTCGTTAATGGGATAATAGAGAAAAAGTTTGATCGAACCTCCGCGAAGCCGTCGTTGCAAGGTGTTGCTGGTAAAGATGGCCAAGCTACGCGCCGCTATCTGCCGCATCTCGAGATTATAGTAATCCTTCGTCCAGTCCGGTAGCGTCAAGCCACTTCGCTCTTCGATTTCTAGAGTGTTGTACAGAAACTCAATGTCAGTGATCGTGGACATGTTTTGTCCAGTGTGCAACGAAAGGTAACGATAGTATTCGGCCGACGGAGTCCCCGGTCTCAGAGATTCGTTCCTGTACGCCTCTTTCAAAGCTTCCTCCAAGCGGGGACAGGGTGCCTTGACCACGATAGTCTGGAAATTGTCGCGACATGATATCTTTCGCCCGTCGTTCCGTCGTGTGTTCCATCAGGTTCGTCTGTTCGTTTGTTCCACGTTGAAAGAATAGAAAAGAATAAACTTCTGAAAGCACTGTTAACAGACGAAGACGAAAACGAGGAAGCACGCAACCATCTTACTCACTTTGTCTAAGTTCCTAGGCGTGGAATGAACAGGTACGGGTCTCCAGTTTAATCCTTGAACAAAGACCTCATCCGCTGTTGGGGGATACAAGCCCGCCAACAATGCCTGCGCGGACATTAAACACCGATCAGCGTAGCTGCTTTGAGTCACAGATAACCTGCTCTCGTACTTTTTGCCAATTACCGGTCCATAATTGTTGCGGATCCATTCGCCGATGTTGTACATTCGACGCATGCCATTCTACGCAACGATTCCACGTTTAAATGTGTGCGGGTCTGGGCTACTTCCGGATTAGGTTAGGTTAGGTCTATTCCGTTTCTGATTAAGCTAATTGACGTATACGTGTTCCCTACGATGCTGTTTCGTTCAACGGTTTGACAAATGTTTTTAGATTCTGTAACCTTGGTCAGAGCTCCCAGGCCGTTCGGCCATTTGTAATCGCGATGAGGATCCTTCGGGTACGTCTCCGTCGGCGTCCTATCTCCATGACGAAATACCTGGTTCGAACCGTTCAACGATTAAACCAATGGAAAAGAACGTATTCACGGAATATCGTACTTACAAATATTATTTGCTGCACAGACGAACTCGTATAATCTGAGTCACTCCTAACCACATATCCAAGCAGTATGGTACCAATGATAACAGCGAGAACGATAGTGATTACGTGGACGCCCATTCTTCTATCCATTTCAGATCAAAATGATTGCATATCAAGACGGTCTCCCACTTTTGTTGGACCGAATCCGCGTCACCGTGCGTATCGCATAAAAGTAAATAGGTATGTTACATCTCTTTCTGTTTTTATCGATTCTTTTTCCTCCCATCTCATCGTAGCGTCCTGTCGGTATATAGATACCTAGAATCGAAACCGGTGACGCAATCCGCGCTGCGCAATCGGTAAACAGTTACCCATCGAGTTTAACAAGTAAACGCACTTTGGCGCCTTTACGAGGTCCAGAATGCAACGGAGCCAAATGTGCATCCAATATGCCTGGGATCATTGGAACGAACGGGTGATTGGAAGGTTGCACTCTTCGAATGGAACTGTCGTTGAAACGAATGAGGGAAAAATAGGTAATCGTTGGATTCTCGATTTTTATTATCCTCGAATAAAGTCGTCGACGCGTGTTCACGTCGCTGGAACCGTAGCACGAAAACGGAAACTCATGGAAAACATTTTCACTCGCATAACGTTTTAAAACTACAATTAAAACCGTAGACTTAATTAAATCTCTGCTGAGACTCCACCTAATTCGTGGTAGATATTAGATGCGGAATGCTGAACGCGTCGCGCGTGTCGTTTACAACTGACATTCTTTGCTATGCGCTCCAGTATATGTGTACTGTGTAATAGACGCGAGCGCGCGCGCGATACGAGTTTGGTTATTCCGGCCATAATCCCAATGTGATTTTCCGCGCTCCATGTTCCCAACCATGTCTCACGTACAGTGTTTTTCAGGTAAAAAGCAAACGCAAGATACTGTTTGTATCTTGCTGCATAGTCCAGGCATCTATGCGTGTATTTATTCGCTGACAGTTAACGCTGGAATCGGATGGATCAAAATAAATCAATTCAGGATTCTTCTTTTGCGGTCGTTGAAGAGGTACAGATGGTTCTTTGGAGGATTGTTAAGTATATTAGCACTAGATTCACGGACATTTATTGTACAGTTTATTCTATTGTTCCCAGAAAGATTGATGCTGTCTGCTTAGGTCTAGGAAATGAAACGTTTAACAATATTAGGAATTATAATCACGCAATTGAATCAAAATGAAAATGTTTATAAAATTCAACGCGAGTCAAATTGGCTCGTTCCGTAAATCTAGCGTCAACCCTTTGCACTCGGGAGGCGACTTAAATTATAAACATTAGAATTCAATATTCAATGTTGTGTATCAACGCATGAGCAGTAGAAATGAATTAGTTAAAATATAAGTGACTTGCGACGTATTGTGTAATATATAAACAAACATGTAATAGCTTGATAGTTTCAGTGTCAAAGATATTAAGGATGCGCAGACGCAACATAACGGACAGACCGCGTACAGCGCGACCGGTGTCCTTCAATTAACTGTAACAATCGTTAGCCGTGAGCTCGTTTGTTTATTTACTTGTAACGAAGAAACGCGAAACAGTGGTCGCGCGTTATTTCTATTCGCGCCAGCGTATATAATGTATGTAGCATGATGCAAGCGATGTAACACGAGTACACGCACACGTTTGTTGCGATGCACAGGTTTGTCGATATGCGAGGCGAGCAGAAACGAAGAATAATTGAAAACGAATGGTAACTGTTCCCGCTATATGATATATATGATATAACCAGCTACAACCGGAAGGAGGATGAACGGGTGCGCAATGGTATTGGTACTGTAGACAAAGGATTGTGGAGGAATATATTCAAACTTATATTTTAATTGCAATCAAACATTTAATCATCATTGGTAACCGTAGACGCCGATTCTACAACGAAAACGACGCAGACACGCTGCGGTGCGCTCTCGGCGGAGAGGTGTTGGTGTGTAGCGCGGCGAGGTGTGCGGAGACTGTATGCGGATGCGTCGAAATTTGGAAGCGGCAACGATTCTCCGAACGGAAACGGTGACGGTGAGACGCTGATGCGAGCGAGGCGTTCAAAGCGACCGGATCAACTTCGCTGTCCGATTGTTCTTAAGTTACAATAGAAATTTCAATGTTCAAATTCTCGACTGGTCTATGAAACTCCATCGGACTCGTTTAAAATTTCAGTTTGCCGGAGCTGATCGCTTTGGTGAAGTGGCTCGCGGCGATCTATCGCGCGTGCAGATCTAACGAGAACAGTTTGCGGCGGACCTACGGTAGCTGGGAGGGCAAGAATGGCTGCGATCGGGGACGACGCGCGTCCGACTTGTAGCGCGAGGTGTGTACGCGTCTATACACGAGAGCAAAGTAAAAGAGTCCACGGAACACGAACGAACAGACGAATGGATGAACGAACGAACGAACACGAGCGAACATTTACAAAGATCGGAGTCGGAGAGTGAGCGGCGAACTATCGAGCGAATCCGTTTCGATTTAAGGCTGCTCGGAACGACGTCGCCTGCCGGGGCCTCCAGCGTAATTCGCCGCGGCCAGTCCCATCAGGTGTTTCGCTGCTTGCGAGCCGCTGAAGCCGCGGCTCAGACCCAGGTCCAGGCCTCGTTTGTTGCTGAAACGCAACGGATCGACGACGAAGACGATGAGTATCCTCTGCCTGTCAGCTAGTATTTTATTTTATTCAACTTTCGTTCACTTACTTCTCGACCTCCGGATTGCGCATCATAGAATGCCCGAGTCGGGCGATTATCTCCATTAGCGCTTTAGGATCTTCCTCGTCGTACTGGCTCCAGTAACTCTGTTGCCTGCCGAAGCGAGAGGACAATTCTCATGAAAACGTCCCGGCGCGAGCCGTGTCCATTAGGTATGATTTTCCGATGTCCCACTAGCGTTGCATTCGTTTTAATTGATCGGCTGACCAATTAAAATAATTAATTGGAGGTCACCCACGCCAGCATCAGCCGGACCGCTGACGTTGCCAGGCGCGACGCTAGCGGAACGACGGGACACCGATAATAGACACGGCCCGCGTCTGGAAGCTTCGAGGAAGAAGTAGAGATAATTACCGAAAACTTCAACGGAAACGCGCTCGAACGGACTCTTTCGTTCTCCGACGCGTCCCGTTTTATCGCGCGCGCAGAGACATGCACACGCACGGAAGCGCATTCGACGCGTCAACGATCGTTCCGCGGATCTTGGCAACGTTTTACGAGACGATCGAATCTGTAACTCCTCCCCCTTATTGGCATGCGCGATCTGGTAACGACGAGTCGTCACAATGCCACTCTTTACTTCCCTCGGATACGAGGAACCGTTCTCATTAAACGGCGGCTCGTCAAATGAAACTGGGTTAAACTTTCCGATGCGGCCAGATGCGTCTTCGCGTTCACTTGCCGCCGCGTATACCTACCGGCGCGTCCTTTTTTCCGCCGTTGCACAGTCTATCGCGTCCACTTGGCCTTATTACGTCCCCCTTCCAGCCGGTTCTAAAACTACCCGCGACTCGCGTTCCCTTTCGCGGTCTCGCGCGTCGACGCCCGCGCGCGCCACCGGTGGATCACGCTTGGACGACGTGTCAGATGGCGTGTACCACTGGTGGATCAGATTTCGGTATCCGAACTACCGCGAGTTTCGACGAGCAAATAGAAACCGTGGATGTAAATCAACCCCTACTTCATTTCTGCGCTAAGCAAAATCACTTGTCCATTCAACTGTCGTTCAACCTGTTTTCTAGTTCTCTTTCGACAGTTGTGCCCGTGAAGTTGCAGCGAAGCGAAAACGTTCGAAAGAAATTCGTAAGGGGTTCATTTACTCGTCGATAATTCCCATAGTTTCGAGAGATCCATCGACAGATGGACGTGACCGTAAGTTACAGGGCCGGCGTCGACGCGTTGAAATCATCTGCCTACTTACGTTTGTCCGTTCGACTGTTCGCGGGCGCGAATTGACAAGAAAGCGATACGCAAGTTGGGAACTGTCGATACGGGGGAGGTTGCCGGCGTGAAGCGGCGTTGCACGGGAACAACGTGTCCCGCGAACGACCCAATCAGCATGCGAACGAAGAAATCGAACGAATGGCGGGGAACTTATCGAGGCGGGCTTACGGTGCAGCGTCGCTGGAAGGTGTCAGTGACGCGATAAGTCCGATCAGCAACAGGCATACGCAGAACGACGCGATTCTTCCCTGCATACTGATGCAACTTTCCGATCTGAAAATGAAACGAAGTTATGTACCAGCGGCGATCGAAGCGGAATATCCGTCGCTCGCACGGTTTTCGCGCGCGCGCGGCGGAACCTCGGTCGTTCGAACGAATCGGGACCAAAGTGGCTTTGCATGATCAGTTCGAACGATTAACTCTTATTGGACGCTAGCTTTCTACAGATGATTCTCAGTTGGTTTCAGCAAATGAGAAATATTCAGTATCGCGAGAACAACATTTCGTTAGAAACGATTTATTACGAAGCAATATTACAGATTGAGTTTCGACATGATCTTGTCACCTCACACGTATCATACGACCGATTTGACCTTTTCGGATGATCAGTTCGAACGATTAACTCTTATTGGATGCTAGCTTTCTACAGATGATTCTCAGTTGGTTTCAGCAAATGAGAAATATTCAGTATCGCGAGAACATCACAATTTTTATGGTATCTCTAGTGAAAATGAGAAATGCTGCAACATTCCTTCGATCTTTTATTTTTCTTCTCGGTACGAAATTTGGATGCGTGGAAAATCTAATAATTTTGGGGTAGTTTCTTTGCTTCGTTGAAATATTTGATATTATAACTGGTACAATGTTGGAGCCTACGGAGTTCAAAGGGTTAACAGGTTCGTCAGAGATTATAAACTGCTGAAGAACAATTCCAGAACATTGATTTTCAATCGGGATATACAGTAACGCGAGTGGCTAGATAATACGATATGACTAAATTATTAATAATTATCAATACCATTTGCCTTTGTTATCGTAGTATATTACTATAAAACCCTCGAAATTCTAGTGTCAACGTGTTAAACCGTATGGGTAAAATTGACTCGTTCCCACGTTCTTCTTTCCCAATGATTAAAAACACATGCCCCTCTGCGAGTCACTAAGGAAACTGATTCAGTAATACTCAAACTGAATCGTAAGTCAATTGAAATCCCAGTAGCTGCATTCTCAGAATTTCTAGGTGGTACTCGCTCGAATCATTGAATCACGTTATTATTATTACAGATTTGTCTTGTCGAATGTCGCTGCATTAGGCGGTATTACTTGCAATATAGAAAAGTTTTCAAATAATCAATTAATTTAATCGAATGAATTACAGTGATTCGATTTGGTTGAGGTCACCGGTGACCCCCATGGCATCCAACGCGTTAAGATGGCGCAGACAATCAAGATTCGAGCGAAACAAGCGAGAAAGCTGCATCGAGTGAAATAATCGAGGTTCCGCGGTTCGCATTGGTTCGGTGCGAATTGGCACTCGACTTCGCCCCGTAAGAATGAGATTCCGTGGCAAGTGTAATCTCTGATACGGTGGTTGACGAGGAAAGACACGTTAAACTAGAAACAGAGGGTGACAGAGGGAACGAGGAAGAAGGGGGCGGGGAATGAACGAGAAAGATTGCACAGCCTCCCTTGTCCCGGACCGTTAAGTGTGGCGCACATTCGAGCACGCCGACTAACAAACTATTGAGACCACGGTTTAGGGAAGAGGGACACCGAATGCACAGGCTCGTGTGCGGACTTCGAGCGAGGCTGTGCGACCTGAGTCGCTGCGGTGCATTATGGTTTCATCCCCTACGAGAATCGTAACCTCTAACCCTTTGAACGGCGGGCGACGCGATCGTTCTCCGATCCACTGTCTATAAGTGGTGGCTATCGATTCGCGGAGACAAATTAAATTTACGTGTCCGTTGCACTGTTAACCCTTTGGCTCTGCTACAGAGACAATGAAACGTCCTGAATGCTAATTACAAGTCCGTTCTACTCAACGAATTATTTCAATAGCTACCAGCATTCGTTTCGAACTACTTCTAATACTTCGTTCAACTCAGCGAATCGAAATATTGAAGAAATTGAGGTCATTGAGTTTCTAAATATGTCTTATAACTTCGAACGAAGGTATTCGAGCAATCTCAGTTTCTTTATGGAAAATATACGTTATAATTCGGCTTTTACTCGAAGCTTTTCACTGCAACGAAGCAGATTGATGAAAGAAACGAATGTACATGGATTTATAGTTTTTCTCCGTCGAGACGAAGCTTCTCGAATTGAGCTGTTATTAAAGGTTGCACCGAAAATTGCTCGGATCACGAACAGTTCGTTACTTATCTTATCCTACATGCTTGGAAACGGAAATGAGACGAAAGATCGCGCTGTTCAGCATTTTTCCAGATGAAATCAGAAAAGAGCGACACGGTGTTCGAGTCGAATCGGAGGATCGCACCGTTCAGCGCGTTTCGATCGGATTTTCGGGAAGTTCCGCGGCGCCGAAGGGTGAAAGCGCACACGCGAACGGTTCGAATTCTAATCGCGGTCGGAAGAATTAACGTCGAGTTCATCGCACCCGCGAGATTACAACGGCGACTCCTTTCAGTTCCCATCGATTTCGATATTCGTTGAATCAACGTCCCATTGGACGGCAATCACAAGCCGCTTTGAGCGTGCCGATCCTCCGTAACGCGGGATAATTGGATTCGTTGCCTTCGATAATTGACGCTCGATGATACTTTCTCACGCGTACGCTTGTTTCGGGCTCGGCCGACGGTAACGTAGTCGACGCTAGTCTTTGATCGTATTCCGAGATCCTTTCGGGTTCGGGAAGATCGCGTTGAACACCGCGACTCGCTTGTTCGCCGGAATTCGATTGCCAACGGGCACTGCGCATCTCTCTCGAGACTCTTAACCCTTTGCACTCGGAAATTTCTCTCTAGGAATATTCAACATTTCTGAACGAAGGCGATATTCTTTGAAATTAACTCGAAGGGAGAACGCGAGTGTTAACCAGTTAACTGTGTTTGACGGGTATACGCGTCATCGCGAAGCTTGACACGATACGAATTCTTTATCTTTTCACATAAACATGTAATTCCTTGTTTCGCTTTGATCTTTTAAAACGGATTAAAATATACTTTACGTTCGACGAGTACACGCTCCATTTTTCGATTTTATTGCGCGCAGAACCAGAGGTTTTTCCAACGAAATTCCACAGTTAACTGGTTAAGGAGCAAAGCTATTTTATTCGAATATTCCACGTATGGAGGCGTTATACATGGTTCAACGTTAAATATATTTTATAGTTTTCATGTGTCGAATCAAGTGGTGACTGAAAGTTTTTCACTGGAAATATTCAATATTCTTCGATGAGAGACGATGTTCTTTGAAACTAATTAATAAGAAAACATATAAATTAAGAAGGAAAGTTATTTGATTCGAACATTCGATATATTGATGTGTCATACAAAGCTTAATATTATATATAAGACTTTATAATTTTGCGAATCAAATCAAGTGGTGACTGAGGGTCACCTCTCGAGTGCAAAGGGTTAACACGTATGTCACTCACTAATGATCGACACTTCTAAACGACTCGGACTCGTAACGTGCAAGATAACGTCGAATGGAAACGTTCAATAACGTAATTAAACTGATAATATAATGCAAGGTTCGCAACAGCGACTAATTAATAATTTTCCTCTGCTTAAAGAATATCTCTATGAAAAGAGTCAAAATTTCCGTGGCGCTAACGAGTTAACCCTTTCCGTAGGAACAGGTTACAATTCTAATTTCGTTCGTTCAGTAGCTGGGGGTTCATTCGCTGCACAATAATTAATAATAATTTCATAATAATTCCATAATAATTCCCTGATGAATAATAATTACAATATTATACTGTTATGAATTATAAATTACAACGTGCTAGTATAAATCCAATTATATACCGCGCAATATTAAAGTGCATCATTATACGGCGTTCCCTATATGAATTTAATTTACCCCGAGCTGCGATTTCACGAATGGAAGGACAAAGTTCGAAAGACTCGAAATGTTGTCCTACGACGGATCCAACGTTTCGCGTTTCACGTCGCGAAACTGAATAATCCGCGGTCTACTTTCATTTATTGTCTTCCTCCGTCTTCCGGAGGCCTTACAGCGTCGCTTTTTCGAAACTTCCACCGGACCGAACGCTGCGGGCGGACCGCCGCGGAAACTTACGGGACAAGCTAATACTTTTACCCGGCAGCACCTGTTCGCTTCCTGTTGGGCATGCTCCCCCGTTTGGGTCCGAGCTCTTAAACAAGTTTCGAAGCACCGAGATTCTGCAGTGTGTCCGCCGAGGCGAGCCGGTGAACGCAATCGAAAATGCGCGGTAACTAAGTTAGCAGCGACACTGTCTAGCCCGTGAAGCTTTTGTCCGCGAGCCATAATTATTCCCCTTTCTCTAATTCATTAGCGAGTAAACATGTCTAACCGGTGATCACTGGCAACGAGCGTAATTAACGCTAGAACTACGGATTCGATACGATTGACGTGCAACCCCTGTAAAAATTGTACCGAATTATTTTCGGTTTCTTCAGACATTCATTGTAGTATTCAAGCGAAACTGTTCATTTTAAAGATCATGTCAAATGCAGTGCTTTTCAGATATCGATAATCGAGACAACAATCGAAACCAGTTTTGATTTTTGCTATCTAACTGTCTAAACAGCTGCCAGAGCTTCGAACACTGATCACCGCGAATCTCCGTGCAAATTGAAATTTGTGAGCAGTTCGGACAAAGCAGAATGCAAACAATAGTTTAAGAAACATTCCGAAAGGCGTTTTATCGTGCGTTTTCCTACCGCGTGCATTCTACGCAGCGTTTCACATCCGGATTCACCGTAAGCGCATAAAGATCCACTTATCGCAGTGTTCCTAGCGGTGAATACCTCATTGTTCGAGCGCACTCGATTGCGAGTTCGCACGACCATAGAAATAACGAAATTACTGTTCCCTTTTCCATTCACGCGGCGTCCGCCGTCGCCGAAATTTTCGTCCGTCGTTTTCCATTTCTCGGCTACCGCCTTCCGTTCGCCCCGTCCCCGTTTCTCATTTCCCGCTTCCTCCACTTTGTTCCCCGGATGTTGCGACCGGCTCGCCGAGGATCGCGAAGGGAACGCGCGCGCGGCAGGAAGAATTCGCTTAGACAGGCATGAGCGCGCATCGGATTCGCAGCTGCGCCGATTCCGCGTCCGCTGCGTGTCCTCCGAGGCGGAAGTCGAGTCTTCCGAGTCTCTCGGCGGATAAATCGCGAGAAATGGGGAACAAGGACGACCGGGAACTCGATTCCCGATGAAATTCTCGAAGAACGCGGGGCGAAGTCTTACGGGATTAAACGTTCGCCGTCCTCTCGGGGCGAAGTTTCCCATGGAAACGCGTCCTCCAATGGTTTCCGAGGAGGGAACGTTGCTCAGCCGTGTGTTAGGTTCGACTGTAAATCGGAAACAGCGCGAACGCCCTCGTAGGAAATGACAGAAACGATTGCGAGCCATTTTCCGGGGAACGACGCGAATTCGAGTGTCGGGTTTACTCGGCGTTTAAAGTTCGAAGTGCGCGAGCGAGCAGCAATTTCCGCGTGCCCGATCGGGGAGATAAAACGGCGGCCCGGCGTTTACTCGGCAACGGAAACGGCTTCGCGCGAGATCCGTGGCAACGACGACTTTGCTCGCAAGTCGCGGGAACGGGGGTAAAAGAAAGAACCCGTTTCGATACGCTGGTCGACCGATGGAGGCGACGGGATGTTAAAGGTCGACGTTACAGCGTTTTCACGTGTCGCGTGCTTGGATGGGGGAACGAGGATGTTGGGAGGAAGGAAGGAAGATGGGAGGATGGAGAGGAGGGAAACTGGATGGAAAGTGGAAATGGGGCACATTGGCAGTTGGCAAGGGAAATGGCGGTGTAAGAAAGTTAGAAATATTGTACATTGTACAATTATGGACGTTGAAAGAAAGGAAAACAAGAATGTGAAAATTGAGATGAGTGCCAGAAGAAAAGCAGGAAAAATTGGAGTGAACAAAGGAAACAAGAAAAATAGGAGGAGGACAAGAAAAACAAGAGAGATCTAAGAAAGGAAAGGGGAAGAGAAACAATGACAATCTAAGAGAAACGAAGAAAAGCAAGAAAGGTGAAAGAAAAAGGAGCACGAGGGGAGAGAAAGTGGCGGAGAAGATAAGAGGAGACGAGGAGCATCGAGTCACCGAGAAAAATGAACGCTCGCGACTGGTTCTGCGTGGCGACCCTATTCGCCACGCATCCGTGCCGCAGTCGATAATTTGTTCGACTGAAAGCGATTTTGTGCCGGCCGTTCGTCTAGTCGTCGCACGCGTCGTGACGTGTGCCGCGGATTCGCGGAGCAGGCCGTGAAACCGCGATCGTTCGAACGAAATGAATCGGCGCGGTGCAGCGGCCAATGATTCTTGTCTATCGCCGCGAGGCGAGCCGAAGAATCATGACTGGAAACGCGGACACTCGCGTCTCAGGCGACGATCGACGATCGCACGGAGATCGGAGGAAGCGTCGAGCTCGGAAGTTCGAGAATTTAACGCGTTTCTCGATATCGAGGTATTACAGACTTCGAGATCGTGGTATTCTCGAGAAGGAAGCGAGTATGGCAAAGCTAGTCGAACATGTGGAACAAGGCAATCGATGTCGAAATTTCAACACGCACGCGTTAATGCCGATAATAAGTGGAAATGGTAAACCATGGACGGACGTATTAATTCTCGCTGAATAGTAATGGCGCTCGACAAATTGGCGCGGTTACTCGGAGCGTAGTTAGTTTACGAACGATTTTTCTCGGTATATCGTTTCCGTATTCGAAATCTCGTGTCGTTACGATGGACTAAAGGAAACTACGGTGAATCGATGTTTAAACGCCTGGAGAATGCGAAGAACGTTGAGACTTTCGTAACGCGAGTTCCATTCCGACAGAATGAATGAACAAGTAAATAAATGAATAAAAAACGTTGATTGCCTCGCGGTCACCGCACAACAGCACTATCAGCACCGCGTCGAGACGCCGGGACGCGCGTCAAAAATGTTCGCAGCGGCGTGCGTTCGGAAATGTTCCGCGTCGGGCGAAACCGCGTGTCGGCGCGAACGGTTAATTGTTTTGTCGTGAAACGAATGGACCGGACGCGTCCGGGATCGTTCTCGTCAAAATCGACAGAACTCTCTCTCTCTCTCTCTCTCTCTCTTGTGCAATGTTCCATTTCGTTCCGCCTTCTTCCGCCCGAGTTTATTCAAATCCGGCGGTGTTGCGTTCGGGGCGAAGCGTCCTTTATATTTTACAGTTGTTGATCGATCCCGCGAACGAACTTTCCCGGCCCCGAATCCCTCGAAAACAATGGGGGGGCAACTGGTGGCGCGAAAATCGGACAATCCGACCGCTCGACGCGTCGGTCGAGCAAGCCAGCGATTCAATGATTACCAAAGTTTTCTACGAAGTATTAACCCCTTGCCGTACAATGACGAGCGAGACTCGCGATGAAGATCAAACTAATTTAACAAGAATGTTCATTACCCACGGAAAGCAAACGACTATTTCGCTATTATCAATGTATTATCTTCAAATGAAATTTCCACCCGAAGTAAAATGGAAAATTTTGTATTTCTTACAGACTGTCGATAGTAAAATATAACACGAACTTAGTAACGAAGGTAAATACGCCGAGGGGTTAAAGTAAAGCCGAGGATGGCAACAAGGGATGGAAGTAACGAAGCACACAGAACCGACGAGGAGAGTACTGCGAAGTGCAGTACACATATAATCGAAGAGTACAGGGAATCTTAGTTTCCTAGATTCCCAGTTCTCAATGATCATCGACGGACCATTCCGACGAGTCTCAATTGCGAGCGGAGTCGAAGAAAGTGCAACGATTTCGGAGAAAATAGCATTTACGCCGTTTCTCGATCGCGATCCATCGGAATACGCTTTATTCTGAGAGGCGACGGTTCTAATTCCGATCTCGATCCTCGATTCCGTTGCTGATACTATTTTCAAGTTCCCTCGGCTCACAAATTGAACGGAGATTGAAGAAAATTCCGCGGCCGCGAGAGACAGGGAGGACGAGCTCGCCGGCGGAGAGCCGCGGAAGAAGTTCGCGACTTCGCGAAGAAAGGGTTGGATAGTTGTTGAAACAGACACGACAAACTTACCTGGACTCGCGAATCTGTTGTGAGGTGAATGATTCAACGGACTAGATTCCTCGACGAAGGAGAGTGCTGCTCTGCGAACCCAAACCCTTCGCCGTCGGTTTATATAAGCCCGCGACTTTGCGGCACTCGCTTCATCCCCATCCCCACCCCGTTGTATCTAAACATCCTCGTCCAATCGAATGGACCCGTGTTCTACCCCGTCCGAGCTTCCTACCACCAACCCCCCGTATCGTCCCGGTAACCGCCGACGAGCGTGACGCGAACTCGGGACGTACCCGTCGCTGTCGTTGCCGTCGCCCTCGCACTCGTCCTGCCAGCTTCTCTGGAGTCCGGACGTTGCCGAATCGTTATGGATAAATATACTTATTCTTTACTAAGTTTCACTGTGAATTTTATTATCTGATAGATTAGCAGATTTTTATGGATTAACTGAATTGAATTTAACCGCCGCGACGTGAATTTTTAACGTGATTGCAGCTATCGCCTTCGCAGTTGTCCTGATAGCTTCTCTGGAGTCCGGACGTTGTCGAATCGTTATGGATAAAAATCCTTATTTGTTACCAATTTTCACTGTGAATTTTACTGCTGATAGATTAACAGATTTTCATGGGCTAACCAAATTAGCGCGACGCGAACTTTTAACGTGATTGTAGCTGTCGCCTTCGCAGTTGTCCTGATAGCGTCTCTGTGATCTAGACGTTGCCGAATCGTTATGGCTAAATATCCTTATTTCTCACCGAGTTTCACTGTGAATTTTATTGTCTGATAGTTTAGCAGATTTCGATGGAATAACTGAATTAAATTTAACCGCCGCGACGTGAATTTTTAACGTGATTGTAGCTATCAACTTTGCACTCGTCCTGCTAGCTTCCGTGAGGTCTAGACGCTATCGAATCCTTACGGCTAACTATCCCTATCTTTCACCAAGTTTCATTATGAATTTTATTATCGGCTAGATTAACAGATTTTTACGGATTAACCGAATCAGATTGAACCCGCGCGACGTAAACTTCTAACGCGATCGTAGCTGTCGCCTTCGCAGTTGTCCCGGCAGCTTCTCCAAACTCCAGACGTTACCGGACTACGCCCGACTATTCTTATTTTTTTACCGAGTTTCATTGTGAACTTTATTATCTCACACGATGAAAGGCTTCTGTAATATTAATCGAATCAGGCTGGACCCGCGTGACGTGGAGTCATAACGTGACCGTAGCCGTTGCCTTCGCACATGTCCTCCTAGCATCTCTAAGGTCCAGACGTTACCGAATCTTTATGGGCGACTATCTTTTTTACTGAGTTTCATTGTGAATTTTATGATCCATTGAGTTGAACAACACAGTCTCTCGGTAAATTGACAGTAAAGATAATTTATTTCAAAAGTGTCATTCATTTCTCGATCGAAAATCTATGCCCTCATTCCCTTTACCTCTCGAACCTATATGATCAAACGGCAACGATCACGAAGATCTTGAATTAACTTCACAAAATAAATACCTGTCTATCAAAATGCAACGGAATACTATAACTACAAGGTTCTAATATAATTAATATAATAATTAATTTAAATATTAATTAAATCGAATTCAAGCGACACTCTGAGAACGTAACCACAGCTGTCCTTGTACTTGTCCTGACACTTCTTTCAGTGTTCGGACGTCGCCGAATCGTTATAGCCAGCTATCTTTCTCGTTTACCGTATCCTACCGCGAGTTTTACGATCCAGCCGGATTAAAGGAGACTTTAATGTATTAATCGAAGCAGAATCCACGCGTGATTAATTCCCGCGCCGCGTTCGGCCATTTCGTTCCTGTCCTCTTTCGGCCGGCAACAATTCGAACGTTTCGTCGCGCGGATCCCATTCCGCGGCGCTCGTCGTTTCGAAGATGTTTATTCAGTCGAGATACTTTCGGAACGTGTAAAATGTAGGTACCCGCCATTAACCACTTCGCTTGGAACGATGCACGTGATTGCGATCTCAGGCTAAAGGTTCAAAAAATCTCTCTTCTCAACGTGTCTTCCGTTCCGCGCACTGTCATTCAGCCACAGCCACAGTATTCCTCTGTTATTTTACCGAGCAACGTTCCTAGTTGTTGCCTAATTAAATAGACACACAGCAGTCGATTAAATTCCGAGTTAAGGAATACAACTGAACTTCGATGGGAAGTGCGTGGCAGAGTTTCCAGCGAAGAATCATCGAATTCCCGGCTAATCCGATGAGAATACGACGTTGTTGTCCAACGTAACGCAACGGAATGTTTATTTCTGTACTTTCAGATTTTCCTATGGGAACTCTGGGAAAGTATCTATTAACCCTGAACACCAGATGGTTTTGTAATCTATCAACAACTGCAACCAGTTTTTATCTCTAGCGAAAATGAGATGTTTTGTGACATTCCTTCGATGTTTTATTTTCCCTCTCAGTACGAAATTTGGATGTGCGGAAAATCTAATGATTGTAGGGTAGTTCCTTTAAGATTCGTTAAAATATCTAATATTATTCTTGCTGCGATATTGGAGCCTACAGTGTTCAAAGGGTTAACCCTTAGCACTCCAGGTTGTTCTGTAATCTATCAGCAACTGCAACTAGTTTTTATGGTATCTCTAGCGAAAATGAGAAATTCTGTGACATTCCTTCGATCTTTTATTTTCCTTCTTAGCACGAAATTTGGATGTGCGGAAGATCACAACAAAAGTGAACTACAGAGTTCAAAGGGTTAACCTCTTGTCCTGCGGTTCCATTCGCAACAGTGCTTGACATTGCTTTATCGTTAATAATCCAGTAGAAAAGGAACAGAATTTATTGCCTATGTCTACGTTTACTCTGCAGATTGAGGATTAACCCCTTCGTCTATGATATCTTTCTCAACGCTGATCGATACGGCTACTTTGTCATTAATAAATTAGTGGAAAAAGAGGAAAATTCTAAGCTTCGCCTATATTAACTTTTAAGCGTAACAGTTGATTACAGAGGAATAATATTTACTTTGAATTCGAATGAACTGAGTAATATATATATATATATATATATGTAATTGTAGTCAATTTTATAATTGTTCTCAGTTCATTCGAATTCAAAGTAAATATTATTCCTATATTTAATTATATATATATATTTGTTGAATCATGTTGAAAACCACCACGACTCTCGCTCGTTGTAGAACAAGGGGTTGACAATATTTCATTCGTACAAAAACTAAGCAAACAACCTTCTCATTTCTCGAATTCGATTGAAAATCGTCGCGGGACCGACTCGAACGAATTAACCCTTTGCACTCGAAGGTTTTCCACTTGAACTATTCTATATTTCCTAATTAGATGCAGACAAGATTCTATAAAATGAGTTTAACAAGAAATAATACGTAAATTAGTTAAGCTACTTTCTCTCAATACTTCACGTATCGATGCAGTGTACAAAGGTCAATGGTAAACACCAAAGTCTCTAATTTTGTACAAAATCATCCGGCGACTGGTAGTCGCCTCTCGAGTGCGAAGGGTTAAGATTTCGATCGACCGAGTTCGCGCGAATCAATTTTTCTGGTGGCTTCTCGCGGAGGCGTCCGCTGTAGTTGAAACAATCGCGAAAGAAGGTTACAGGAACGGGCGGATTTGACCTATCCGGTAGTTCCAGTGTTAAAGGGAAGGGTTCGGGAAGCGTGGGTACACAAAAGCGGCATTTAAAGGAAACAGAAACTGGTCGGTCGTTAGTCACGTTTGATTCATCGATAATTTTATCGTAGACGCGCGTAGTTGTGATTGAACGAAGCCGGAGTCCATTAAGCGTACAAGCGTAGCACGGTGTTTGCGTTCTCGTGGCAACGACTCGACAAGTTTTCCTTTCCTGAGGCACTCGCGCGCCGCTATCCGACTATTCCTGGTATTCGGACACGGCCGAGCGAAATGGAACATATCTTCGCGTGGTTGTCGTTGTAATCGGTATTCACCGAGTTCGAATACGCGGCGACAATTGGACCCAATCAGCCTACTCGGGGAACGTTCTCAAAAGGGGAAACGTAAACGGTAACTATCGATTCGCTCGAGGCTTTCACGGCCAGGAATACTCCGACGGTGTAGACTGCTGCTCTCTAAACGAATTCAGATTCTTAACAGCGTTATCGATAATGCGAAGACTACGATGGCAAATGGCTGTCTGTAACCGATACTCCGAAAACCATTGGAAACGGATGGTTCGAAATCACTTGCGTCGGACTCCTTTCATAGTTGTCGAGAGTATATAGATATGTTTCTGAGAAATTGATATAAATCGATTTATTCCGTAGAGTATAAGTAGATCGTGATCTCGATATGTGCAGCCTTATTTCTGTAGAATACGGCTTGACTACTCGGTAGTTGCAGTGTTGGCTGGGTCGTCTTACTTTCTTCTTTCACAATCTCTGAAAAGGATGATTCTTTGAGAAACGATTGAAGAAGCTAATACAGTGATGCCTAAAGTAAAATACAAGTTAACTGAAGCTTTAATAAAGACAAACTTATAGTTCATACAAGGAAATTTTAAGTCGGTTCAACTGCTCGATTCCAGTGTTAACACTAGGTCGTCTTACTTTCTTCCTTCACAATCTCTGAAAAGGATAATTCATTGAGAAACGATTAAACAAGCTAATGAAGTGACACCTAAATTATAATACAAGTCAACTGAAGCTTTAATAAAGACAAACTTATAGTTCCTACAAGGAAATTTTAAGAAGTCGGTTCAACTGTCGTGTAGTTCCAGTGTTAACGTCTGCGATACATCAGCGAGGGGTGTAGCATTGTGGTCGAAACGTGACGGATGCGGACCCCAGAGCACAGTGCTTTTTCCAAGGTGGTTTGCGGGTGGTTGTTCCGTCCACCCTCGCATTTTTCCGATTCGTTTCCATTTTTCGACCATCTCGTACGCAGGAAAGACCGTCGTAATGCCGTTTAACGTGGCGCCCACGGGTTCCCCCGTCACGAAGCTGCGTCTAGCATAGTCGGCATGCAAATCACCTAATAGCCCATTTTAATAATGGTGGTCTCGTGAAACAAATAGCCGTCCCGGGCATAACGCGTTACAAACGACGGGATAAACTGGTGGTTGTGGCGACGCGACTCGACT